TTTCTATTGACTGTTTGATCAATAAAGTAACAAAAATAATTTAATCGGTTTTTTTTCTGAGTCGGTACATGACATTCAGCATTAATATGCCCTGCTTTTCAGCAGAAGTAGCTATCAACACATTGTGACATTTAATAGACCTAAATGCTGTTTTTATTGGAAAGTATTCTAAGTATTTTGAATACAGTACCAAGATTAAACAAAGTAATGGAATACATTACAGAATACATTACAGAATACATTTTAAAGCAAGTATTCAGTATTATTTACAAAGTATTCTCCCCAACACTGAGCATAAGTATTTGTGTTAGTAGTAGCAGTAGTACTAGTAGAGCAACAGAAGAGTCCTCCACAAAGACACTTTGATACATGCACAAAGCTTCATACTCTTTAAACAGAGCCCATACCTCTGAGCCATGGCTTGGTGATTTTTCAGTTTTTAACTGATCTTCAGCCAATTTAAAATCTCCTATAAAAGCAAAAAAACTGCTTGGGTTTGCTGGTTCAGGGCACTATGGTTGTCGTCATTGTGTTGAAAGACATCAGCTGTGACATGAGGGTACTAATTCTTGCTTCCCATCAATACAAGAGGGGTCACAAGGTCATATCCAAACAGCTAGCAGTCAATTAATTCACTCTTAATGAAAAGTAGGGAACATTAAAGCTAGTCGTCTATCTTCCCAGGAGCAGAGGTCCGAGCAAGTTCATCTCAAGGTCACTGCATGATGCTAAGAAAAATTCATAAGAAAAGCACTTTGGACTTCACAAGCCTCAGGTAACAAGTCCATAACAGACACGCAGAAAAACAGAGAAATTTATTCAGTTGTATGAAATGCTGATTCACTATGTATGAAATTCACTATGTACAGACACCCCCCCCCCACCACCACCACCACCACCACCAACAACAACAACAACAGCAACAACATCAAATGAACAAATAAGCTAAAAGCAAATAATTAAAGGTGTACTTAATGCTAAGAACCTTGAACCATTACCAAAGTCCACAAAAATGAAATAAAGGAACCAAGCGTGATTGGAACCAGAAGGAATGTTTTAAGAATGACTTTATGAAAGACAAACAATATAAAAAGCTTTAGGCTTCCTGACAGGGTTGCGGAAGGCGCTTTATAAATAAAGCTTTGATTGATTGATTGATTGATTGATTGATTGATTGATTAAAGATCTTTAAAAATAAAAGCCAAATTCTCTTTAGAACCCTTTGTTGTCAGGGCCAAATCTGTCAAATTCAAGTCATAAAGCAGTTCATTAAGTCAGAGGTGTATCTAACAGCCATAAAGTATGAAGCTTTAGTGTGAGCAATATGATTTTAAAGACCTCTTTAAATCTATCAAAAATTCATTGCGGGAAGAGGAGCAAAGAATTATTATGATCGTCCATCTTTGTCCTGTCAATAAGTGCAGCAACAGCATCTTCTAATGAATCAGGAGCGATTCCTGCCATGGAAAACCTCATAACCACAGAGAAATGCAGAAATGGAATGAAAAATAAAGTACAAACAAGCATATATTTCTCAACTATTTCTAATTCCTTTAAGATTAAGGTAAAAATGCACATATAAAATCCTCATTGTGAAGGTGAGAAAATTATTTAAAAGTCATACTTTCCAATTTCTAAATCATTCTTTTGAAGTGAATGACCAGTGTGGTTTGTACTTCTTTAGTAACACTAAAGAGGTTTTGTATAAAAATACAAGATTACTATAGTTTCCTGACTCTTTTAAAAGTGAGAGTTAAAACAAAATCTTTATCTAAATAGTTGAACTTTTAATGTATAAAATTGAAGTCATGTAATTGATGTTCACCCTATTAGATTTTTATGGCCAGTCTTCATGTTCAGGATGAGGGGCTGAATGTTGTGCATTGTCATCCACACAAAGATTGTGGATTTCCAGCATAAAAAACTTAATTAAATTAAATTATGCCAACAACAAAAACAGCTAAATTATTTCTCTTCTCCTTGTGCTTTTTATTGAAAGTCAGCAAACTGAAAAAGTGAGCTGCTTGCCTCTAGATTAGCTACTGATCAAGTAAACAGCTTTCGCCATAAAGCAGGTAGAGACCTTTCACTAGTGTTCTTCTCATACCACAAACCTGTTAAGTGCAATTTCTGGTGAGAAGAGAAAGGTCTGTCCAGTGTGAAGATGGCCAAGTTTCTGCCTCAAGAATCACTGAAACCAGTTTGAAAGCAGTATATTAAAGTAATAAAACTCTTTAGTGCTGCTTTAAGGAACATGTCCCTCCAACAGCATAAATCAGTCTTAACCACCCTAATGTATTAACCTGTCCTCCTCTTTCCAAAACCGCCTTGTGCTTTTGTCTTCAGTCCTTCTGAATTCTGTCATCTTTCAAAATAAAGTTGTCAAGATTATCACGTCTCCCAAGAGTTTCTATCTGCATGTGAGTCAAACAAATGAACAAAACCACAACAACATGTAGGTTTTAGGACAGGGATACCTGAATAAGCTAACATGATATAAACAGTAAATTTAGATACAGCTGGAAATAATTCAAGAAAAAGCTAAAGAAAAGGTTGAATAAGAACAATGATCAAAATGATCTGAAGAGACGCTTAATAAGAACAGATGTGTGATGCAGGAAGTAGTATGATGATGTACAAATACACAAAACAGCTCAGAGCAGCTTGAAAGGCTGAAAAGTGGAGAGCTAGTTGAAAATCAACAACCAGGCACTGCTGCTGGCTTAACCACTACAGTCTACATCAGAGAAAGGTTGCCATGAACAGTACTGACAGATCTGCCTCCAACTGGCATGCTTTACTCATAGTGCAGGGTGAAGGAGGACAGAGGAATTGGGAGCAAGTTATGAAATGACCCGGGAGAAAAGAATAATGCGGTGAGAGAATGGGATGAAATACAGGTGACGACATAGAATGATTAGAGAAGAGGAGACATATATAGGAACGTAGTGTAAAGAAAGAGTTACAAGACCTCAAATGGCCACAAAAACCAGGTCATGTTGAATCATAGTTCTGGAAAAACGGCTCTGATCAGGGAGAAGATGACAGCTTAGGCTCAGTTGATGAACACAAGGCAGTTCTTATGTAAAGGGTTTTGTTTTATATGATGAAAGGCTGACTTTAATTTTTGACATCACTGAATGGACCCTTTAGGCTGTGTAACCATGGTCTCTGTCAGCCATTTCTTGCTGACTCAGTTGAAGAATTATAAATTCACAGCTGAGCAGCTAAAAATCCACCTTTCCAGTAGAGAATACAGTTTTTCTAAATTCCGTTAATAGTAAAGAAATAAACCAGCATCCTGTTCTGGGGCGTGTTTGGGTGAGCAGGGTGCCCACAGGACTTTATGGTTGTGTCTCAGTAACATATATGTCAAGTTTTTCCCTCAGTTTGTTTTTCAGAGCCTATGAATGAATTTGGAAGTTCAATTGATCTTGTTTTATAGTTTCTTTTGGTGAATAAATTAATGATACAGTCTGAAAATACACACTTTAGTAAATCATTTGTAAAAAAATGTTTTTGCTGTTAACGTATGAAAATTCTGAACACTTAAGAAAAAAACCTACACCTGTCATTTTGTCAAATAAACTGGTGTATGTACATTCTGATTATGAACCAAACAATAAAATAAGCTCTATCAAGTTTTTGATTTGGGAACATTGTCTCATTTTAAGGCAGATTTCAGTATGCCCACCCCTGAAATTGTCATGTTGTGGAAAAGGCGCTTAACCCAGGACATGAAGAACCACACGTGAAAACCAGGCAAGTAAAAAAAAAAAAAAAAAAAAAGTAAAATATTTTATTAAATGAAGCTTAGGAAAAACTAAGGGCGCTGCTCCAGAAAAGCAGGAACAGGAACGGACCGGTAATCTAAAAAGAATAAACAATCGTGCATACGAAGCAGAACCAGAGAACCAAGAGAATAATAAGTTTGGTGTTGAATTGTTCTTACAGTGTTAAACCAATTCTTAGCGGTGGCAGACTGGGTGAGTTCAGTGGAGGAGAGGCAGCAGGTCCAATGGTTGTAGAGGAGGTGGACAGGAGAAGGTTGTGTGAGTCCAGGGTGTAGGTTGGCAGGCAGAGTGATGGAGAGTGGAGGCCAGAAGATCCTGAGCGACGGGACGAGGAAAACAACTCCAGGCGTGGTTAGAGGATGCGAGGCGCGATACTAGAAACAAGAGCATACAGGATCTCATACTGTAGAACAAGTTCGTTGGAAGATCAGGTAGTGTACTGGGCTAGAAGCTACCCTGGCGAGAGTATCAACCGACACTGGAGTTGTGTCACACCGCTCCTTAAATCCCCTGGCCCTCTGATTAGCGGAATCAGGATCAGCTGGAACTCGTGCCACGCCCACCTTCAACACAAACAGCTAACTGCCAGGTTACCTCACCTGCTGATAGAGGCAGACCGAGGCAGAAACAGCACATGTAGATTACCGAGAGCTTTAAGAAGTTATGTATGAATGCCTGATATGAAATATGACACTCTGCCTGAATTAAATTTTTATTTATAAAAATTAAGGACACTGCAGATCAAGCTACCTACAGCCTTGTATTGTTAGCTGTTGTCTTTAAAGAGCAAGTAACGTCTAAATTAACTTTTTTTGCTGATGAACTGTATAAATGAGTGTCTAATAGTGTTTTAAATGTGCGTATTCATTATTTTAGCATTTTGGTGCATTTTCTTTAAAAATTGAAAATTCTGCCTAAATACCACAGTATAGCGCCACCTTCAGCTTAAAACATAGAATTTGAGTCATTTTGAATAAAATTTAGCCAATGGCTAAAGAGAAAGATACTACGTAAACCAGTAGAGTACTACGTAGCAGCTCTGTGTCAAAGTTATAAAAGCATCGAGAGCCTCCACCACGCCTTGGGAGTTGGATTTGCAAGCGAGTGTAGGAGGTTAGCCGTAGTTCAGTATTAGCATATAGCATTAGCATATACTAGTCTTTAGCGTAGCTTTTTGTGTTATACATACTTATTTAGTGTTAGCTTGGCTGTTGGATATTGTAGTTTAGTTAGTGTTTGGCTGTTAGTGTCATTAGGAAAGTTGTTCGGGTTTAGTGCTCCATATCGTGTTAGTATGGTGAGAAGGTGTAGTGTAGTATGGTTGCGGTGGCTCTGTGGGGTTGCACTCCTTTCCGCTGGACTTAGAAATTAGGCGCCAGTGGTTGCGCGCAATCGGTGTCTGGAAAACATTCAGCTCCCGCCTGGTGCTGTAGTTTGCAACCAGCATTTTACCCGCGATTCTGCACGTCTCCGTTTGAAGAGGGAGGCTGTGCCCACCGTGGCTCTTCCGCGATTTAGATGCAGCCCACTGACTCTGCTCCACAAACATGGCGGACTCCAGTCTGAGGTGAGTAAGCTAAATAAAAGTTTTAACATCTTCTAAAGACAATTCCCTTCCTAAATGCAAAGTTTGAGAGACGTGTTTCACTCCATTTAGCTAATATCAGCCTGCACTGCCTTCGGGCTGATTTGTCAAGTTCACAAAATGTGGAATGGGAGAATCAGCGACGAATCGGAACATATCTCGACGCCCTGGCCGACAAAACGGTCCACATGGCTTGGAGAAAATTCGGGTTGTTTTTGTGTCAGTCGGTAATTCTGCAACAGTGGCTCTAACTAACGCAGCACTAGTTGACAGACAGCATTACAGCGTGAAATCCAGCTTGTGACCCGGTTCCGTGAGGAATTCTGTTCAGGAGGTCGCATTTCAGGCTCTCCACATCATATGTGACTGACTTTTACGTTAGAATAACGATCACACACTAGGAATGTTATAAAGTGCCTATATGTTTCTTTTGTATATTATCTGACTTTATAAACTCCAACAACAAAGTGCTTCTATTTTTTTCTGGTTAAATCTACCAAAGACACTGGCTGTCAGAATGCACTTGTCCAGGCTGATGTGAAGCCTTACCCGTAGCAAAGGTGAATTATTTTTAGTAATCTTCTATGTATACATTGTATTATTACCTTCTAGTTTTAATTTGTTTTACAGATTATTGTTACACGTGATGTTATGCTCTTTTAAACATTTATAAATGTGCTGCTTCTTTGTTTTTACATAGCCAGCCAGAATAGAGCTCCCAGCCGCAGTGTGTCTTGTGACACAGGGACCATGACGGAAATTCATCTTCCAGAAAGTCCCAGAGCAGCGTCCACACCCCTGAAAAAACCAAGATGTGAGGTGTCTGCTGTTGATTCCAGCTTCCACCTCAGTGACAGTGCAAGCTCAGTGAACTGTTCAAGGTAAAAAAAAAATTAAAACATTTCAGAATTTTTAAGATATTAACTAATTAAATAAGTATGTGATTACATCATGAAGGAGGCTACTGATGCTGGCCCTGTGACACTTGGTGGTGACGTGTGAGCTGATTCACCTGGTAAATAACTTTTACATCAAATATTTTGTTTTTGCTATCAAAAGTAAATTAACTAATAACCTGCATTATTGCAGGACACTCAGCAAAATATGGACTCTACACCATGAGGCAGGCACACGTTAATATTCTATAAGAGCACATAAGGTGAGCAACACCACATATTATTGTTATTATTGTACACTGTCCTGGATTTGTTTTCTTTCTGCATCTCATCATTAGCCTGGCTGATCACCTGATAACTCCTGTCATCTGGTTATGATAGCATGAGGATGTCCTCACACACCTGTAACCTATCAGCTCATCTGGCAGAATAGAGAAGAGACAACACCACATCTCCTGTTCCTGGAAAGCCTTCAGCCATCCTTCGATGACTGAGAACCTCCATCAGCTCTGTCTCCTGTCTGCCTACAATTATTATAATAAATATTGTGTTTGACAAGTTTTTTTCTCCTGCCAAATATCTCATTTTGATTCCAGTTTTGATATTTTAATGGATATTTATAAATTACATTAATTGAATTATCACATTGGTGCATGTTTAACTAGCTCTATTGTGATGAATTAAACTAGCACCTCACTGTTAAAAGCTCGTTTTAATTTCAAGCATGTTTAAGTATTTATGGACATGAACAAAAACAGGAAATATATAAATTGAGATTTATTTAATTAATATAACAAATAAGGGGGAAAGAGTAATTGAAAGGCACATTCTTCTGGAAGCTCCTGATCCTGACGACACCAGCAGAGACCAGCTGTAGACACCAGAAGATCACCTACAACCAAGAAAGCAGCTAGTATCAGTAAATAAATAATGAAATCAGGGCAGTTTTAGTGGGCTGAACACATTGCAGAATAATTTTCTCATGGGGTTTTTTCATAACTTTCTATGCAGCAGATTGTAACTTGAGCCCAGGGCTCCTGGAGAGCTGCTATCCAGCACGTTTCAGTGGTTTTCCTGCTTTAACAGGTTAGATTAGCTGATAAGCAGCTCAGCTATTTGTTGCTGATTAAAATCAGGTGTGTTGAAGCAGATAAACTTCAACATGCTGAATACTAGCTCTCTAGGGCCATGGAGCCAAACCCTGCAGCTAATCCAATGCTATGGCTAACGGCTACTTACCATTCAGAACTGGTTCTGTTGGGTCGGTTCCGGCAGTTTCAGGCAACTCACAAGCTCAGAACAATAAGGCTCAGGTCCGCTTGTCTCCTTCAAATAGACTTGGTCCCTTTCTTCTCGAGTGTCTGGGTAAGGAGGGGGAGAAACGTCTTCCACTTCTAATAACTGCTCAGAGTGAAGGGAGCTAGCATCGTCTAGTTAGCTATCGTCTTCGTCACTGCCGCGGCTCCGCCCTCTCGGTCCTCCAGGCAACGCCTACTAATGTTGCAGTTTTTAAAATTAATACGTGGGTGGGGTAAGACTCTGAGGGGGACATTACGACTTCTTTAAAGTGGCTGTGTGTAGTTCCCTGGCACTAGGGGGCAGTGCATACATTTCAGGGTAGTTTTACACCATGTTGCCATGACTGTCACTAGTCTAAAAAAAATTACAGTAAATGTTACCTGTGGAGCAGAAAGCATGCAACCTCAGTGGGACTCCTCAGACTTTGATGGTCCTTCAGTTAATTCCACCGAGTGAATGCAATACCGATTGTAGTTTTCTGGCATTGTAGTTTCTGGATCTGCTCGGGGTCCTGCGCCTGCCAATGACGTCTACGTCAACACAGCTCAGCCAAAATATTTTGCATCTCTTTTTTGATTCTGTTCTTTCACATATGTTACGGAAATAGTTTAACAGTTTTGTTATTAAATTTGTTTAATGAAATGTTACTTCCATAAGTCGTACATCCAGCCAGTCGTCTAGTGTGACATCATCAACCAGCGCAGGAGCTCAAGCCAGACAGAAGAAAACACGGCGTCTAATATGGTGCCCTCAAAGACGCTAGAACTGCACCCTACTATAGATCCAATTTTTATGGTTGTATATCTTTTTTTTCAAAAACTGGACATCCTTTTGTTCATTTTAAACATTGTTTTGATGGATATTTACAGACATTAACGCTTAAAACTACACATTCTCTCTTTAACAGATAAACTTACGTTATTGGATGGATCAATATGAAGAAGCATAAAAAACCTGAACACCGTTAAGAAATAATAAAAACAAAATTAAAATTTGAGTAGAAGTCCAACAGAAGGACTCAACACTAAGGAAACAAAAGGTATTCATGTACCAGGGCTGGTGATTAGTGCAATGAGGAGCAGCTGGGTTTATTAGCACATTGAAATGCAGGTGACAGTTAGTGAACTGTGGAGCTGAGGGGAAACTCAAATCACAGGGAGTAAATTGAAAACAAACAACCATAAATAAGACTTGATTTTAAAAAAGACATTTCTAAACAATTAAACAAAGAAAATGAGTGACTAGAAAATAACAAAAGCACCAAAGGAATCACCAAATGTAACAAAACTGTAACAAAAGGTAAATGGCCTGCATTTGGTGTGGCACTTTCCAGGGTTCTACCCTCCAAGGAACTTTACAACACAATCAGTCATTCATCCATGCACACATGAGCTAAACTGGTTTCATTCACCAAATCTACCACAGGGGAATTTACAGAAACTTACAGCTGCCACCCATGCAAAGTAACATTAGAGTGAGATGCCATTATACTGTCATAATTCTATTATTTTAACAGAATAATTACCATGTTTGTGCTGTTTTGTTATATTGCACAAACCTGAAATACATATAGTTATGACAAGACAGTATGTGATGAGAAAAATCATATTTAAATGTAATCATATCATATTACAATGTGATATCGCTCTAATTTTATTTAGCGTGGGTGGCAGGTCTATAGTAACACCATGTTTTTTTTACTTCCTAATAAATATTTCTCTCAGGCTTTTAATTTATTTTTACCAAAAAAGAAATGATTTTGAAATCTGCTCAAACTGTGTCATCGGTTTTAGTCATTCAGAGTTGAATTTCAGTTAACGTTCAGCAAAGCGCCAAGAATTTTTACTTATTTTAAGGAGAAATAAATAAGCATGCAACAAACAGAGATAGATAACAGTCTCCTCACTGAGTATATCTGCAAGAATATGATGCTCACCGTGTCCACAAAAGCTAAAATAGTCTTGCACCAAATGCACCCACTGAGGAGGAGAGGCACTTTCATGCACACAGTAAGAGAACCAATCGGATCAGATCACCCTGGGCTCTGAATTACTGGACTAGATTAGCATCCTCTTTGCTCCCCTTATGTTATTTCTGAGCAGCCATGGCATAGTAAACCCTATACTCCTCTTGTTATTGCACGGCACATCATTAAATGTTAATAGCCAATCCATGCTGACACACCATTAGGCACAGAGAATTTGGTTAATGTGCTATAAGACCATTTGGGGATTTGCAGACTTCATTCCCATTTTATGGTATGTGAAAATCTATAGCGCGAACTAAAGATGTCATCAATGAGAAACACATCATGGGTTTTGCTCAAATGAAGTCTGTTCTGCATCATTCTGTGGTTCGGTGTATCTGAACAAGAGAAACTGAGAAGAAGAAGAAGAAGAAGAAGAAGAAGAAGAAGAAGAAGAAGAAGAAGAAGAAGAAGAAGAAGAAGAAGAAAGATGGGTGAGATTGTTAAAAGAAGAAGGGAAGTCAATACAGGAAGAGTAGGTGAGGAAAAAAAAGAGAAACCAGGTCAACACTGCCCCCTAAAAAGAAAAGTGAACTGAGGGCACTAAAAGCAGCATGTAGAGGTGTGGAAGCTTTGAAGCAACATTTGCTTTGAAGCAAAACTGATCAGAGGCGCTTCATCCCTTAAATGTATTGAAATCGTTTGCACTTTTCCCCTTCGTCCAGTATTTGGACATTTCCACATGTCATAATGCAGATCTGAACAGCGAAATACAAATAAATAATTAAAAAAATCATACAATGTGATTTCCTGATTTTTTAAATGCTGTCTCTCGACCCTCCATGATTTCTAAGTGGGATAACTTGCAAAATTGCAGAGTGTTCAAATACTTTTGTTCATCACTGTTTTTGCTTTTATTGGAGTGACAAAAATAGGCTTCTATAGATCCCAAGGGTTCCCAAACGTTTCGCCTTGAGGACCCCAGACAACCCTGCCCTCCCCCTCCCAACCACAGCTCCTACCCCCCAAACTTAGCAGCTTTAGATTGTTGCACTTATGCTCCTTGTTTTACACTGTAGGGTGTGTTACTGGGATTTTATAAATGTAATTTTTACAAATGCATGGCTCTGGCTCTGCAACCAGTTTCCTTGATAGCAGTTGGACTTTCTACCACCCTGGAGCTGCTCCCCACTGAGAGGCACCAATCAGAGGAGGGCATACTTGTTGTCCCCCGTCTTGGTGCCTGTACATTGGGGTTTATCCCAACGGATTGAGAGGGTAGCTTCCCTCCGCCTACGTGTGGGGGTCAGGTCCTGACTGTGGTTTGTGCTTATGCACCAAACTACAGTTCAGACTACCCACCATTTTTGGAGTCCTTGGAGGAGGTGCTGGAGAGCGCTCCTTCCGGTGACTGCCTCGTTCTGCTGGTGGACTTTGACGCTCTTGTGGGCAACGACAGTGAAACCTGGAGAAGCATGGTTGGGAGGAAAGTGGTTGAGCTGAATGTCCAAGCTCATATAGTTTTAATTGTCTGGTTTAGCCTTTTTCAGAGTTTCTCTATGATGGATTTAATTCATGGGACAATAAATCTGTAGTTGCTGATAAGACCATTCAAAAGGAGGCATGTTCTTATATTTTGTATGCTTTGGTAGGAAGCGTTACAAAAGAAACCCCAAAGATTTAAAGGTCAAATTAAACTGTTGACCTCAATTAACCCAAGCTTTACAAAAGAAGCTCCAGGTCTCAACCATGATGCCTTGGACACCCAAATGTGGTTTTGGACAGATAGCATCTTTTCTACCTCCAATTTAATACATTCATTTTTGTGGTCAATTTTTACATTTAGGAGGTGGTAACATTTTTTAATTGCATAAAGCTCAAAGTCAGCATGTGGAGTCCTGTTTTCTGACAGTCACACTAAAGGGGCTTAAATGTTTCTGTGTCACCTTCAGTCTAGCTTGGATATTTGAGTAAAGATTAATTAAACCAGAAATCAGAATCCCACATGTATACACCATGAAGGGGTAGAAAATACTGGTGAAAATATTTTAAATCATCTCAGGTCAGAAAGTTCATAAATAAAGAAGCACAAAAACAAATAAACAGCTTTGTTTGGTCATTTTTTGACATTTTCAGTACCTTCCAGAATGAGCCGTTTCAGGTTCAGGTTTACAAAAACAAGCTGGAGCTGGCCACGCCCACTCATTTATGCTCAGGCCGAGAAGCTCCGATATCCGATATCCTGCTCCTGCACAGAGAAAAACAAGCAAAAGATGAAAAATGGCTACTGATAAGTCAAA